TTTTATTTTTACAGTTAACTAATTAAGGTACTAATCATGTAGTACTCTGTCGTGGACAAAGGATACAGCTCCAACCAATCGGAATTCAGAGTAGTTTTCACATTTAAAGCTGCTAAACCAATGACAGTGTGAATCCTTGTGATATGTAAACATACCTGTAAAATATAAAAATTATTTTCATGTTTATTCATAATAAACCATTTCCCCAAAGCACATAATCATGTCTTATTCTTCCATATTTTTATTATGATGGGCGCAGACAGAAGTGACATTTTTTGAGCAATCTGGCCCCTGAAAGAGCTCTACAGCCACACCATAACATGTTCACAGCTGCAGAGTGCTTTAAAAATGTCCAGTTGTGTGAAAAATAAACCCTGGACAAATCAGGTTGTGTTCCCTCCAATGTTCTTCCACACAGGGGGTGGGGAGAGGGGTGGGAGCTCCTACTTGATGAATGGCAAGGGGGGCAGGAAGAGCCCCTTTGCCTTATGGGCCCCCTCAGCTACCCTGGGTTGGGACCGCAAGGCAAGGGGGCTCAATTTCTGCCCCCCCCCCCAACCTTCACAGCTCTGGCCATTCAGCGGCCAGGAGCTCCCTCCTTCTCCCTCCCTCTCCTGATGACAGCCCCAGAGCTGGGGACGAGGGGCAGGGGGGACGAGGGGTGGTTTGGCAAACTCCTTGGAGGCTTCTGGAGTGCCCCCACCTGCTGGTCAGGGTCAGTGCAGGCTGGCTCCAGCCCCCTCCCTGACCCAAAAGGCAAAGTTGGGAGGAAGGAAGGTCCCAACTCATGGCACTTTATATAAAGCATGTTAGTGGGGCCTTAATGTGCGTCTGCACCCACAGAAAAACATGGTTACCAAGGAGGTCACCAAGGCCAACCTTCAGCTCAGGCCAAGAACATCCCTATCTAACTTACACATAAAAAAACTTCCCGTGATGGAGATCGCACATCCTTTGCAAGTGTATGTCTACATATGCATTCATGCTAGACATTATCCTCCTTTTCCATCATCGATATTACTAGACAGCCTTGGAGAATGCTGCCACACATTCAGCAACACATGTCACAAGACCTATTATCACAAAAGGCAAAGTTGATAGCAATGCCAGTGAAAGGTGTATCACAACAAACAAACAGATATGTTCCAGACCAATGATAACCTCCATTGCAATGATATCCATTGAACTGAAAGCAATTACAACAATGGCAAGCCCACAATACAAGCAGCTTGAACCACCTCCAAAATAAAAAATTCCTAAGTGTAAATCAACTGGATCAAAACTCCATTGATATGAAGACAGCAGATTTAATTGTTCAGTTAGGAGCAGCATACAATCCATTTCCATGTTCCAATCATACCCTCTTCATTTGGAAAGAGTTTTAATTTCATGTTATTGCTTTAGAGAAATCATCTGGAAATGATACACTTGGCTAAGTCATCCAGTTCTAGAGCCTTCCAGACCCTCACATACTTTCTTATCCCTGTTCGGCAATCCATTTCTGAAGAAAACATGATAGAAAAATTCTGCTGTGTATACACTGAATGCATGTACACTAGCAGTGGAACTTATATTGCCAAGCACTTGAAGTGGACTCTCATGTAGGCACCTCTATCAGACTACTAAAGCTTAAAAGATTCATAGACATTAGGGCTGGAAGGGACCTCAGAAGATCATCGAGTCCAGCCCCCTGCCCAAGGGGCAGGAAGTCAGCTGGGGCCATAGGATCCCAGCAAGATAAGCATCCAAATTTCTCTTGAAGGTGTTCAGTGTAGGTGCTTGAACCACCTCTGATGGCAGGTTATTCCAGAACTTGGGGACTCGGACAGTAAACAAATTCTTCCTTATGTCCAGCTTGAAATGGTCTTGTAGTAGTTTATAACCGTTCAACCTCGTCATCCCTTGGGGCACTCTGGTGAACAAACGTTCCCCCAGATACTGGTGGTCACTCCTGCTAAACTTATAAGTGGCCACCAGATCGTCCCTGAGCCTGCACTTTTCCAGGCTAAAGAGCCCCATAGCTCTCAGCCTGTTGTCGTAAGATCTGTTTTCCTGACCTCTGATCACGCGCGTGGCTCTTCTCTGGACTCTCTCAAGCTTCTCCACGTCCTTTTGGAATTGTGGGGCCCAAAACTGAACGCAGTACTCCAGCTGCGGCCTCATCAAGGCTGAGTACAAGGGGAGAATGACATCCTCGGATTTGCTTGAGAAGCATCTATGGATGCAAGCCAGCGTTTTGGTCGCTTTACTAGCTGCAGCATCACACTGAAGGCTCATGTTCATCTTGTGGTCAATGATGACCCCCATGTCTCTTAGACAGTAAACGATTATTGAAAATCTGAACCATTTATATTTGGACCACTGCAAAAGTCAGCAGTTTTCCCCCTTGCTGGGCACAAAAAAATTGCAGTCACATGTTCTTAAATAGCTCAGTAAATCTATGCAACCACTGCCCTCCCTCCCCAAACAGCTACAGTGGAGGACTCAACAAAGGCAGACAATGCAGAATAAAGAAGAAAGCAGCTCCCAGCAGACAGAAAAGGCAACAGTAATGGACATTGTGAGCAAGTACCAGGAATGGATTAACATGACTCTGGTCATATTGGACTGAATTAGATTTAAGGTGACCCAAGCCCCAAAGAATTAATTTCACTGCCTTCACTTGACATTCTAGAACTTGCCCTGATCAGAGTTTACTAAACTCTCTAATGCAGTGATCCTTAATTGGGGTGATGCAGCACACAGGTGCCACAAGATCCTTAGAAGGGTGCCACCAGATGAGGAGATAAGCAAGATGTAAGGAGATAAGCAGATAAGTTCAGGATCAAGCTGTCTTTGTCTGCTCTCTCCCAAGCTTGGCCCCGTCTGCAAGGAGGTAATATATAAATTAGTTTTTTAAATGGGCCAGCACTCGGTTCCAAAAACTTCTGGAGGGGCGCCTTGAGTCTCAAAAGCTTTGCAACCACTGGTCTAATGTGATAAACCAGTGAAAAGAAGTTTCAGCTCTTCCAACACACTTGAACTGTCTCAACAAATGCCAACTTCTCACAGGTCTTCATCCAATATCTAGGCCTGAAGTTTTTCTTATTTTTTTAAATGACCAACATACAGCTGTAGTTTTCACTCCTTTGCTTTTGCAGCTGCAACTAGAAACTGTTAATGGTCATTACTTCCATCTCCATCCACCACTCTTACAAAATGACCCACCTCTCTGCCCCCATTGCTCTAGCTCAGATATGCTCCCTGAACAGAGACCATTAACGTAAAGGCTTAAGATAATGTTTCAATTAATTTGTTTTGATTTTTAAATTAATTAATTTTAAAAGCTTAACTATGAGGACTCACCATAGTCTGGGTGAAAGATCTGGCGAATCAGGAGAAGAAACCATTCTTTTGTCAGACCACCCATATCAAGTCCAGCCTCCCCTACAAATGTAACTTTCAACTTCTTTTTTAAATCTGCTCTCTTCCTTGTCAGCTATTAAAAAAATGAAGAACTGCATTTGATCAATGTTATGACATTATATATAAAAAATGTAATATATACATGTACATATAAGTAGAAATATTTGTGGATAGCTATATATATATATATATATATATATATTATACACATTTACTAAACTCCAATTCATACATTAAATCTACATGTAAAAAACTGTATGGTTTGGGAAAGGAAGGATAATTCCCACTCCCAGCACCTGACCCCAGCTCTTCTGGGTTTGGATGCTATCTTATTAACATTCAAACAGCTCTCTCAGAGTTCTTAGTCCTGGAAACGGAAGAACCATCTCTTCCCACTATCCTGCAGGCCTAACCAATTCGTTCTTCTGCGAGAGATGGGGAGGAAATTTCCTGCAGAACACAAATGACTAGTGAACTGAGGGTTTTTCCCCCACTTTCCTGTCAAAACTTGAGAGCTGTTTGGTAGATAAGACATGGACCAAATCATCATAACTTTTGGCTACTGTTCCATATAACATGCCAAACAGCAGACTAGGTTTGGTAGAACCATAAGCACAGAATCCAGTAACTTTCTGGAAAAGTTTGGTTTCATTAGGAAACCTGCTCTTTCTAGTCCTTCATCATTGGTATAGTACACATATGGGAAACTCTTAGCAATTGTCTGCATCCCCCAAGTGACTTAAGTTAGACCTCTGGTAGTGGTGTCATCAGCCATGTAGGTAGCCTAATTAGCTTGAAGATAGGATAAGTAACAGTGTCACACAAAGGTGCCAATTAACCTGTTTAAAGTATTATGCAGTCAGCTACACTGCTTCCACTTAAAGCAGCAGCCTACCCAGAGCAGCACAGCATGCTGCAGGGCACTGCTGCTGGGGATATTTACTATGAAGACATGGCTTTAGAGAGGTCCAGCAAAGGGTGTTTGACTCTTGTTGTTATGACAAATTCATGTCATTCTACACTGAAGCATTTCTTCCTTGATAGGACTGAGGTACCATCTACTTGAGAATTTAACTCTTTTAACAAAGCTGTGACCTACTACCTAATACCCTAGTGGGCAGTAGGGCCGTGTGAAACAGCATCATTTAGTTTCTACTTCCATTTTGCTGTTTCAACAGGACAGTGTTTCATTTAGAGTTTCATTTTGTTTCAAAGTGCTGTTCCGTTTTGTTTTGTCAAAACTGTTTTGCTCTTTCGACGTTTCGCCCATAGGCTATAATGGGGAAGCACAAAACTACCTATAACTTTGTCAATTTTGGCAGATTTGGATGAAAACAGTAGGGATGGTAGCCCTGTCTGAGGGCATGAAGCCTGCCAAGTTTCAAAGAGATAGGTGCAGGGGTTTCCGGGAAACTGCACCTCAAGCTCAGCACAAGCAAAACTCGTGACATCTGTGACTTTGGGTGCACGTTAAGGTCTGCCCTCACTGGTGCTGGGGCCTCTACACAACATGGTAGTGTGCCCCAATGAGGTCTCCTCCTCCCCTACAGCCTCAGACCGGTCCACCACTTTAAATCACAACAGGTAAAATAACAACTTAGTGAAGAACAGCACAGTAGCACCAGCAGCATCTCAGGCAGTCAAACTGTGACAGACCCTTCCTTTCCTCTCCTGAAGGAGCTTCTTTTCCAGTGTGTGTGTGTTAAGTCATGCCCTCACTATGTCCTTCCTCCCAATTCCCCCTCCCTCTCCTTACTTTCCGTTCCCCTACAGGCAAGCCCAGCTTCAGCTTCGGAACTTGAAACAGTTTGAAACTTTCAAAATGTTTTGGCTACCCTCATTTCGTTTTGAGGCTGTTTCGAAGTTTTTGGTTTCATTTTGATTTAGCTGTTTCAGGCTTGAAATGAGTCAAAACAGTGTTGAAACGAAACAGCCAGGGAAATTTCGCACAGCCCCAGTAGGCAGGTGTTTTTATCCATGTGTCTCCATGTGTAAGGTTTTATGAAAAAGGTTTTGTTATATCTTCCTCAGATTACAGATTTTCACAATTAGCCAAAGGCCATGTGTAAGGTTTTATGAAAAAGGTTTTGTTATATCTTCCTCAGATTACAGATTTTCACAATTAGCCAAAGGCATTAGTATGACCCAACTACTTTCTTCTAATAATGAGAAGACATTAAATCAGCAAGAATGCAGCATGGGTTATAACAACTCCTGCATTCCATTTATTCACACATCAGTAAGTTTCTATTGTAACAAGATTTTTTTCTTTTTGTATATCTGCATAATTTGATCTGAACCCCAATTTTAATCTTCTAAAGATTGCTTCAAATATTTGAAATATATGAAACAAAGCATCCTTCATTTTCTTCAAAACAGAGTGAATGGCCTATGCAAAGGGAGATTCCATAGCACTTCTGTGTTATGACAGCAGAAATGGAGAAAAAGCAGCAGAAGTGAAATAAAATCTAAGGAAGAAGGCATTTATATTTATAAGCAAGTACATTTATAATAAGGGTAAATTATTATAGAAGAATCTTAAAATTTGATGGATTAACAAATGTTAACTATTTAATGACAGTCTTGAAATTTTCTTTCACCTTTTTATCATTTACAATTATTTTTCAAAGCCAACCGACTATTTTTAGGTTTTGAGGAAGATCAGGGAACAAGATGTGATTAATGCTGATTAACAAGGTTTGGCTGACCGAAAAGAAACAGACACATATGTTTCTCTTCCCAATGCTACTTAAAATAATCTGCTGTTTAGAAATGAAAGGAACACACACAGGGATCAGTTAAAAATTTGAATAAGTATTTAGGAAAATAAAGCTTAAAGCTTAAACTAATTAAAAACTGAAAAGAAAAGGCAGTGAAGGAAAAAGAACTTCAAAATATAGAGAGAGAGATTAGAAAAAGTTGAAGCTACTACTGTGGAACAATAGAACTAGTCTCATGCAGCATACTTCACCCCTATATAAACATTTAGTATAATGCAATATGATCAATAGGGATCCCAGTTGTCTCTACTAAAAATAAATAAATAAATAAAATTGCAAATGATCTGATTAACCCCCCCCCCTCCAAACTGTGTTTTTCTGCGATGTAATTCCACTATATGTATAGGTATCAGTTGAACACAATGTTTTATTGTTATAGTTACAATTTTACAGAAATGTCGAAGCCTACCAGTGCCTCAATCACTATAATAAAATTAATTCTATATAGTTTGGTGTTTGATTTTGTTTTTTTCATCATGGAAAATTAGAGCCCTCTTGCTCCCTTCGCTTACCAGGACGTGGGTCCAGCTGTGGCTGTCCCTCTCCACTGCTTTGTGGTGTTGAGAAGGCCAGATATGCTGGTGCCCTGCCCATGCCATTGCCCCTCACTCCCCACCTACTGCCCCCTTGACCCTGCTGGTGCCCCTCACTCTCCCTACCCACTGCCCCATGGGTTCTGTCAGGGCTCCTCACTCCCCACCCAATTCCTAACCCCACCCAGCCCTGCCAGAGGGGGACCCCAGCTGCCAGGGCTCTAGGGCCAGGGACCCAGGTCTGCAGCCCACTGCCCCACCATTAGTGCCCAAACCCCAGCTGCTGCCTATGGGAAGCAGCAGCTGCTGCAACCTGAGCAGGGAGTGGAGCACAGAGCCTGGCTTCCCCTCCCCCATGGGCAGTACAACCAGAGCGGAGCCTGTTGGGGCAGTGGGGGGTGAATGTGGGCTACTCTCTGTAGGCTTGGGCCTTCCTGCCTAGCTGCCCTTTCCATTGGTGCCTCCACAGCCCAGTAGGTGGGACCCGGCACAGCAGGGCAGAGTGGGAAGGGTAGGCTCAGTGTCACTGATGTAAGCCCCACACTGCCATGGCAAGGTGCCCCCTGCCCACCTGGCAGCAGCAGGGAGTACAACTTCATGACACCAACCCCTCTACTGCCTGGCAGGTAGGGGCTGCTTTGCCATGGTGGCGCAGGGCTTCTGGCTGCAGCACCGAGCTTCCCCACCCTGCTCTGGCCTACTGTGCTGGGTCCTGCCTGCTGCACTGCGGAGGCCCCCATGGGGAGGGCAGCAGGGCAGGGAGCCCCGAGGCACCCACCCCTGCCCTATGCAAAACCTAAGAGGCATGTGTCCCCCAAGCCCCACCCGCAGGAATTTGCACAGCAGCAGGGAGCCAGCCCCACATCGCCCCAGACAAGCCGCCTGCAGCTCCATCCCACTTCCAGCCCATGTCCAGCAGCTGTGCATTCCAGCCCGGGGCCCCAGGCCCCATGCACCACCCCAGCTGCCAACCCCAGCCCTACTCAACTCCTTTCCTTACTATGGGCCCCCCCGCCACCTTATATGCAAGGAGCTATAGGAGGTGCTCTCCAGGCTGCCATGTGCATAGGTATGTGCACACATGCACATGGTGTCCCCTGCCTGACTGCTCTTCTCCCGCTCCCCTCAGCTCCTTGCAAGCTGGAACTCTGCCAGCCTGCAAGAAACCCACCGTTTGCCACACTTTTTCCTTATAAAGGGAAAATCCAGGTTTTACTGCGTTTTTCTGCAGTGAACGGAAAACCCAGATCCCTAACGATAAATAATTAAGCTAAATTTAGATGGCATGCAAGTACATATGTTTATATAGAGTTTGCCTACGTGTGAGATTAGTAGGTATACAAGAACACCATGACAAAAACTGAAGCTCAGGATATCATCTCAAAATCTTCTGCATTATTACTTTTGCAATACAATACTTTAATTACAAATACCACATATCAATAACGAGAATTCACAGCTCTCATCACAAAAGCTTTCAATACAACCTATTATTTGAACTGAAAAGGCAGAGTTACTTCACAACAAACCGATCTTCATTTACATCCTCTGTACCTCATCAAGCGAGTCACTAACAAGGTGTGTTCTCCTCACTTTCACATTTAGGAATAACATATTCATGTCAGGTTTCTGCCTGCGAGAGACTTTGTCCACAAGACTTTGCTATTTAGAATGAAAAAAAATAAAAAGAAAAAAGAAAATAAGTTTTACACTCAAATTTGCTTTAAAAAACTTCTGAAAGGCAGACAATAGCATTAATGAAATGCGTGGAATCCTTGCTTTAGAGTAGCAGTGAAATATCAGCTTCTTGAATGTCAGTTGTTTGGTCAAAAGCAATGACAAAAGTTGTAATGTAACATTGAAATAATCTTAATAAGAAGAGTAAATAAAAGGTACTGGTTGTGCTGTGTTGTGGAAGTCCTTAAAATCCTCTTCCTCCCCTCTCCTCAACAAATAGAACTTTTAAGTAGGTCCAACCAGGGGCTACATGTGTTTCTGTGGCTTGAAGCACTGATCAGCATTAGCAATATGGTGCAATTGGGATTTGATCCCCAGTCCCACAATCATGCCTCCTGTCAGGCACAGAGCAGATCCCAAATATGCTTTTAACCGAATGTCTGTCAATGACTTTAGTTAAAGATGAGGGGTGCATCTACACATGCGCTTTACTGAGGAGCTGACTAATTAGCTTTGCAGTAAAGCATCACCATCTATATATGCACTGGTATTCAGGTGCAGTATATTAACTAACTCCACTGTAGGATAGTACTGTCCAGGACAAGTACTATCCTACAGCAGGGTAGTTACGCACACCAAAACCCATGTGGAAACAGTGACTGGGGCTGGCTGGGGCATGAGGGTGCTACAGTTTGGAGACTGTCTGCTAGCTAGCTGCACACTGTTGCACCCTTCTCGTGCCCCAGCCAGCTCCTCTGCAGTATGTTGAGCCAGGGCGGAGCAGCCCCAGGCTGGCAGGCTGATCCTCCAGGACTCCTGACAGCCTAGGGCTGCTCTGCCTTGGCTCAACATGCTGTGGTACCAGGTGTACGTGTAAATGCTGCGCCTGAGAGAAAAACTTTGGTGCGAAATGCACTGTAGTTTATTGCTATGTGCTAATTGCACGTGTAGATGCATCCAAGGGGTAGTAAAACAGTTGCATTTATTTTCCCGGAGTAATCTTACATTTCAGAGACAATAAATATTTCTATGGAATTAGTAGTAAATTAAAATGTATAACATTGTAGTGATTACTGTGAAAAAGACATTTATCACAAAGACTTACACGTGCTATGCTTATCATCTGCTGTTCTGAATCCCTCTGAATAATAACTTTTTTTGCTGCTATAGAAATGATGAATGGGTACTGACAGAAGGAAAACCTAAGTAATAAAATAGATGGGAAGTTAAACAACATTTCTTTTAGAATTCAGGAAAAGAATTCTATGCTATAAGTTCTGCAAAAGTTCAACAAATTAAGTATTATGTTGGTAAACCAGACAGATATCCTGTCTCTCAACGAGAACCTGAAATCTTAATTTCATTGTACAACTTGAATAAGATGCAAAAAAATGAATACAATACTGAAATAACTTAGATTAAGTTTTCTTCCATTTAAATAACTAGAAGTGATTATCAGGGATCCTGGTTTTCTCTGATAAAAAGTCCCCAATTTTCAGACTAAAAAAAGTAACCCAGAATCCACATTTACCTTGATTAAAATGAAGCACCACTAATATCTCTCTCTTTATTAGTGGTGTTTCATTGTAATCATAGAAAAATGTGGATTTGGGGTTACATTTTTTAGTCTGAAAACTGGGGATTTTTTTTAATCAGGGAAAACCAGGATTCCTGGTGATTGTATATAGAACCTAGAGGAGTCTGATTTACAGAGATGATAGTAAGAGTTCTCCTGCAAGTCTCCAAGCATGTTAGGATTTACACATGTGCACAGCTTCATGCATTGAAAATAATCCAAAGGACTTCATTGAAAGTAATGACAAGGTATAAAATTAAACATGCAGTTGAAATTTTACAGGATCAGAGGCAAATACTGAAGAGATGCATGTAGCATCTGAAAGTTTATTTGATACAATGTTCTCAGTAAAATGCTAATCAGGTGCAGAATACACCTTTATAGAAATGCATACACCTCCAACAAATCTGCAAATTCTGCTAGATGTCTCATCACAAGTGCATGAAAAAGAGAGGAAGGAATGCATGCACCCCTGAATGTGTAGGTAGACAAAACTCTTGGGGTATAGGTGACATCTTTTATTAGACCAACTAAATACTAGCAAAAAAAAAAAAAAAAAAGTCTCTCTTTGCAAGCTTTCAGGCCTAAACACCCTTTTTCAGGCAAAGGAGGATTCAAGGATTGTAAAATTTTCCCCATAATGCAGGGGTGGACAAATTACAGCCTGCGGGCCAGATTCGGCCCACTAGGCCATTCTATCTGGCCCACGGGGCCCCTAAAAAAATTTAGAAAATTAATATTTATCTGTCTTTGGTTCCTGTCAAAGATAACAGGAGCCACGGGCAGTAGGACCCAGGGGAAGCCCCGGTGCGTTCCTGCAACAGCAGGGCCTACCCAGCCCCGCCCCCCCAGCCAGAAGTCCCTACCTAGCAGGGCTTCTGGCCTGGGACCATATGGCTCCTCGTGGCTGCACTGGCGCAGGAAACTCAGGTAAGGGGGGGGGGGGGGGGACAGCTGAAGGGCAGGGGAGGACTGCAGGCAGGGAGCAAGCTGGTGTTGAGTGCAGGGAAAAGCAGCCCCCGCCCTGCCCCATGGCTGGGGCTCCCTGCTGCCG